CTTGCTGGCAAATCACAAAAATGCAAATTCCGCAAGAACTGACAACACAAAAACCGTTGTAAACAACTTTAATTTGATACTTATGATCAAGTAAAATCTGGCTTGTTAGCTGGCTGGATTTTCTTGCTGCACTAAAATTCAAAACTTTAAGAATCTGGTAGAAAATGTGTGTGGAGAGATGTTATTGGACTCAATTAAGTGCATCCTGTTAAGATATTTGCCATTATTTTTCATACGAACAGGACAACAAATCATTTTGTTTATTAATACTGGGCCAAAACTCAATTGTACTGGATACTTTGAGCAATTTAAAGTTGTAAATATTGTGAAGAGTGACAGAGTGAAACAGCTGCGTTGTAAATAAAAGGCCACAGATGATTGGAATAATAAAGTTATAGGGAAAAGGCAGGAAGTTGGAAGAAAACAAGAATGGAGAACAAAATAAAAATATATTGTGTTGATTAAAACAATGTTTGAGCAAAATGATTAAATTATACTTAGTAAAGTTTTGAAATAATTTTGATTCTCTTCATTTGAGATACATTAAATCACATCTGAGGGAAAATAGTCCTACACAGCTGTACTCTGTCCCATTAATATTAGTCATGTGTATTTGTTTCATGGAGTATATAAAATTACATAAGCATCATCATGCCTGTTCCAACCCTTTAAAAGCAGCTATAACAATCAGTCTCACCTCCTGCTACACCATCCCCTATCCGTGTTCTTTCTGAACAGCCTTGCATCTTGCATCTTCAGGTATTTTTGCAGTTCTCATTGGAAAATTGTTGTTGATTCCACTTCAGCTATCATTTCTAGCAGCACATGAAAACTATATCACTTTATTTTTCCTCATATTCCTTCTGGTACTTTTCTTAGTTGCTTTAAATATGTGCCTCCAGACACTAATCTTTAAACAAGCAGAAATGGTTTCCTCTTATTGACTCTACTTAAATAACTCAAGATATTAAACACATATACAATTAACCCACTCCACTCGAGGGAAATCTACATAAATGTCTCCAGTCTCTCCACATAACTTTCACAGTATTTCATCACTGGCACCATTCTTCTCCGCTGTTCCTTCAATAAGGCCTTGAATTGGACACAGCAACCCAGCTCCAAAGGGCCTAACTAGTGCTTTACAAAAGTTTGGTACAACTTCCAACTATTTTGTAGTCTACCACAAAAAAAGGTCTTCTCAAAGAGTTACACTGCCTTTAAAAGTCTTTTTTATATACTATCTCAGTTATCTTTTTCTACTGTAGCACTTCAAATTCCCACCACTTCATTCTCGTAGCTCTCCTCATTCTTTCTTCCAAAATTATTTCCCATTTCACAGAATTGCTATAGTGCAGAAAGAGGCCATTCGGCCCATCGAGTCTGCACCGATCCTCCAAACAGCACCCGTCCCAGTTCCATTTCCCCACATTAAATGTGCATAGCAAGCCAAGGATGAGGTTTTAGGGATCCTTTAAACACTTGTTGAAGCTGAGTAACTATGTTGAAAAGCTAAGGCAGATTTTCCTGCACGCGAAAGAAGATTTATTCCCACCTATGCAACAGTAACTACACTTACCCTGATCAGCCCTCTATGTTACATAATTAATGTATGAGTGCATTACAAAAATGTGTTAATTTAGAAAAACATACACAAAATACCAGCAAACAAAGATGGAAAACACCTCTAGATGTTGCTTTTTCTGAAAATGAAATATTCTCTCATTACTTTGTTGCCTCCAACTGTAACCCTTCTGTACAGGAATGTAAATAAATTTTAGGCTCTGGTGCCAAGGAGACTAGCAAATGCTTGGCCATTAAAAAAAATACATTTATTTCATTAGTTGTTATCAGGTAAGCAGGAATAATGGAAATATGGAAAAATAAATGGAAGCAGGTTTTACTCCTGTTACACAGTACCACACACTGCCGAAGGTGAAAAATGCCACAAGGTACCAGGAGTGATCACGTAGAAAAATACCACTGAACTGAGATTGGAAAAAATAGCCAAGGTTTATGTTCCTGATTGTGCAGCATATATTTGTAGTTGCCAAGCACGAAAGCAATAAGCTCAAATCAGGCATTAATTGTGTCAATGGGCTAAAGAATGGCAGATGGTGTTTAATTTGGATAAAGGTGAGGTATTGCATTTGGGTAAGACAAACAAGGGCAGGACTTATGCAATTTAAAGTAGGACCTTGGGTAGTGTTGTAGAACAGAGAGACCTAAGGGTTCAGGTACATAATTCTTTGAAGTTTGCATCACATATAGACAGGATTGCTAAGAAGGCATTTAGCATGCTTGCCTTCATTGCTCAGGCCTTTGAGTATAGGAATTGGGACATTATGTTAAGGTTGTACTGGAGTGCTGTGTCCATTCCTGGTTGCCCTGATAATAGGAAAGAGCTTGAAAGAGTTCAGAAGAGCTTTACCAGGATGTTGCTGAGAATGGAGGGTTTGAGGCTGGATAGGCTGGGAGTTTTTTCACTGGAGGATGGGAGGATAACGGGTGGCCTTATGAAAGTTTATAAAATCATGAGGGGTATAGATAATGTCAATGACAGGTGTCTTTTCCCTAGGATGGGGGATTTCAAGACAAGGGGGAATAAGTTTTAAGGTGAGAGGAGAAAGATTTAAAAAGACTTGAAGGGCAACATTTTTTACACAGAGTGGTTCGTGTGTGGTATGAACTTCCAGACAAAATTGTTGAAGAGCTTAAAAGCCTGTTTAAAAGTCATTTAGAGGAAAGGTTTGGAGAGACTTGGGCCAAACACAGGTAGTTTGGACTAGTTTAGTTTGGGATTATGGTCTGCATGGACAGGTTGGACCGAAGGGTCTGTTTCCGTGCTGTATGACTCTGTGACTCCAAAATGACTTCTATAATTAATAGACTTGCTGAAATTGATGATTCAGGTTGGAGACTGCAGATTATCAGTTAGTTGAGTTATCAGAAGGTACATAGATTCCATGGAACTAAATCACACTAATGTGATGAAAAGACAATTTGTGGATTAAGAAGCAGTTTTAAAAATGGAATTCACCACTGATTTCTGCAGCATGCTGTGAATTGTCCGCGACTGTCACAGCACAATTCTCTTTGGAACTCTTTCTTTTTGCATGGATTATCAAATATAAGTTCAAGAAAATTCTTTCCTTGATGTTCTTTTCAACTAAATCCTGCTCCATCATCAAACATTCCCTTCATAAAATGAAAACCCCTGCATAATGATGAGCCCCAATTTAAATTATGAAGTGACCTATTTATGTCACTTTGGATCTTGAAAATATTTACATTTAGTTCACTTCAGAGAACTCGGCTTTGGATGGTGCTTGCAGATTGGAAACATGCTTTTCTAAATGTTTGGTAAGATCCATGTTTTCAATATTCTGTCAAGATTCTCAAATGTGATTAGGTGATCACTATGATGTCTATGGTTTTGCCTGTATACATATTGCTTTTTAACTTTGAATGTTTATTTTGTACATCACTGTACTAAGGACGAGGAAAATATTTCTGAAAGAGACTGTGACTGAATAAAATCTTGTACATTTCTTCAAGCTGAGGAATTTTGATCATTCTGTTTTACATAGAAACACAGAGAATAGGAGCAGAAAGAGGCCATTCAGCCCTTTAAGCCTGCCCCACCATTCATCATGATCACAGCTGATTGTCCAACTCAATAGCCTAATCCTACTTTCACCCCATAATCTTTGATCCCATTTGCCCTAAGTGCTATATCTAGCGTTTCTTGAATACATTTAAAGTTTTGGCATCAACCACGTTTTGTGGTAATGAATTCCACAGGTTCATCACTCTTTGGGTGGAGAAATGTCTCCTCATCTCCGTCCTAAATGGTCTACCCTGAATCCTCAGACTGTGATCCCTGGTTCTGGACAAACCCACCATCAGGAACATCCTCCCTGCATCTATTCTGTCTAGTCCTATTAGAATTTTATAAATCTCTATGAGATTCCCCCTCATTCATCTAAACTCCAGCAAAAACAATCCTAACCTAGTCAATCGCACCTCGTACATCAGTTCCACCATCCCTGGAATCAGCTTGGCAAAGCTTTGTTGCACTACATCGAGAGCAAGAGCAGCCTTCCTCAGAAAAGGAGACCAAAGCTGCGTGCAATATTCGAGATGTGTACTCATCACACCTATGTTGCATGTTATGTTGTATAACTGCAACAACAGATCCCTGCTCCTGTACTTGAAACCTGTCACAATGAAGGCCAACATATCATTTGCCTTCTTTACCGCCTGCTGCACCTGCATGCTTACCTTCAGCAACTGGTGCACAGGGTTCCTAGGTTCCACTGCACACTCCTCTCTCCAAATTTACAGCCATTCAAATAGTAATCTGCCTTCTTGTTTTTGCTTCCAAAATGAATAACCTCACATTTTTCCAAATTATGCTGCATCTGCCATTGATTTGCCCACTCACCCAACCTGTCCAGATCATGAAGGATCTCTGCATCCTCGTCACAGCTCACCCTCCCACCCAACTTGGTATCATCTACAAAATTTGAGATGTTACATTTTGTTCCTTCATCCAAATCATTAATATATGTTGTGAATAGCTGGGGTCCCAGCACCAATCCCTGTGACACCCCACTATTACTGCCTGCTAATTTGAAAAGGACTCATTAATTCCTACTCTTTGTTTCCTCTCTGCCATCTTATCCATCTCAATACACTTGCCCCAATCCCATGCGCTTTAATCTTGCACAATAATCTCTTATGCGGTACTTTGTCAAACGCTTTCTGAAAGTCCAAATATACCACATTGACTGGATCCCCCTTGTCAACTGTACTAGTTACATCTTCATAGAATTCAAACAGATTTGTCAAGCATGAGTTCTCCTTCATAAATCCATGCTGACTGTGTCTGATGCTGCCACTCCTTTCTAAATGCTCTGCTATAAAGTCCTTGATAATGTTAAAGTGCTTGATTTAATAATGGATTGTTGAAGAATGCTATTATCCTCTGTACTCACCTGGTTTTCATTATTTAGAGTAAAGATAAAGTCCTTTGAATTCAGAAGCTTACATGCATAGGCAATATTAACAGCAGTTTCCTGTTTATCTCCTGTCAGGACCCAAATCAAAATACCAGCTTCACGAAGGGCTTCAATGGTTCCTGGCACACCATCTTGCAGACGATCCTCAATACCTGTTGCCCCTTTCATCACAAAAACAAATAAGTAAACAAAATACTTCTAAAGTTCCAAGAATTGACAAGTAAAGCATAATTCAATTCTTACAATCATAGTTATACTGTAATTTAACTAAACACAGGCTCATATTCATAAAGCAGGATTCCGCAGATACCACTGATTAACTTGCCTTGCTGTATTTACAGTGTTAATGTTTCCAGTCTTCTTGTATTTCTCGTCTTCTTATTTCAACAAATTCTCTACTTACCCTGATTGAAATATATTTGTTAAAATAAATAGAAATTACTAACTATCCTATCTAATGTGATTTACTATAGAGTTGTAGAGTTATACAGTGCGGAAACAGACCCTTCAGTCCAACCAGCCCATGCCGAACATAATTCCAAACTAAACTAACCTGCCTGTTCCTGGCCCATATCCCTACAAAACTTTCTTATTCATGTACTTATCAAAATGTCACTTAAACATTGTAATTGTACCCACATCCACCACTTCCTCTGGAAGTTCATTCTACATGCGAACAACCCTCTGTGTAAAAAAATTGCCCCTCATATATTTTTGAAATTTTTCTCATCTCACCTTAAAGATGTGCCCCCTAGTCTTGAAATCCCCATTCTAGGGAAAAGATAACTACCATTAACTCTATCCATTATTTTATAAACTTCTATAAGGACGCCTCTCAACGTTCTATGCTCCAGTGAAAAGAGATTTATAACTCAAATGTTCCTGGTAAATCTCTTCTGAACTCTCTCCAACTGAATAATATCCTTCCAATAACAGGGCGACCAGAACTGGACATGGTATTCCAGAAAAGGCCTCACCAATCTCCTGTACAACCTCAACATGGCTTCCCAACTCCTATACTCAAAGGACTTAGCAATGAAGGCAAGCATACTAAAAACTTTTTAAACATCTTCTGATGCAGACTTCAAAGAATTATATACTTGCACCACTAGGTCCCTCTGTTCTACAACACTACCCAAGGCCCTACCATTAACTGTATAAGCCCTACCCAGTTTGTTGTACCAAATTGCAATACCTCGCATTTATTCAGATTGAACTTCATCTGCCATTTGTCAGCCCATTGACCCATTTCATCAAGATCCCTTCATAATCTTAGAAAACCTTCTTCACTGTCTACTATGCTACCAACTGTGGTGTCATCTGCAGACTGACTAACCATGCCTTCTGTATTCTCATCCAAATCATTTATATAAATGACAAACAAAAGAGGACATAGAACTGATCCCCGTGGAACGCTGCTGGTCACAGACCTTCAGTCTGAAAAGCAACCTTCCACCACCACTCTCTGTCTCTTGCCATTAAGCCAATTACGTACCCAATTGGCAAGTTCACCCTGAATCCCATGTGACCTAACTTTACTAATTAGCCTACCATGCAGAACCTTGTCAAAGGTTTTACTAAAGTCTAACTAAATGTCTACTGCTCTGCCTTTATCAATATTTTTGGTAACTTCTTCAAAAAACTCAATCAAGTTTGTTAGACACGATTTTCCTTGCACATTATTGGTACACTTATTAATAAACCTTCTACTATTGAAATAAAGTTACAATTATCAGAATTACACAGGTTTTCAAAGGTAAATGAGGAAAATAAATGTAATCAACTACTTGTTTTCCTGTAATGTCACACTTGACTTTCTCATAAGTTGACCAGTCTGCTCTGGACCCACCAACTAGTATGGATCAGACTGGACAAGATGCTGTTTGTCTTCTATCTTCCTTTCTTTTAAGTACTACTATCTGTCTCCAAGTCTTCCTTTCCTGTCCATTGAGGTATTGCTGTCTATTTCCAGGTCCTCTTCTTTCTTACTTTTTTTAGGTACCACTGTCCATTCTGGGTTCTCCTTTCTTTCGCTGCTGTCTATCTCTACGTTCTCCTCTCTCCCTCTCTTTTAAGCGCTGCTGTCTGCCTACAGATACTTTTTCCATGCGGTCTTTTAGCTGTGGCTATCTGTCTCTGAGTTCCCTCATGCTTACTCTTTTAAGTTTTTTTTAAAATGAGTAATCAGTATTTTATAGTAGTATTTCAATATGTGAAGTAATGATCATTTCTAAATTAGAATGAAACTAAACCTTTCACTTTGGATGGGTGAAGGGAATTAAGACAAATACATTGGTTGCGTTATTTTGGACAATGGAAGAATAAAGCCTTTTTAAAAGTTCTTCAAAAGTTATCTTCAAAGATAATTTTATTGAAGATCATTGTGGGAGTTCAAATTTTCAGCATGCCTGGGAAAACAAAAGAGAATGGGTTGTCCCACAAGCAGAAAACAGTGACAATGTGGCACTGTTTACAAAGATTGTTGAAACTGACAAGACAAAATACCTTGTTTTCATATTGGAACTTTCATGACCTCAAGACATCCCAAAGTATTTCACAAATGAAGTGTTGTGAAATGCAATTATCACTGCGAGATAAGAAATGTAGCAGCTAAACAATGCACAGCAAGGTCCAACAAACAGTAATTAGATAAATTGATTAAATACATAAATCTGGGAAATAGTTCTGCTAAACTGCTGAGGGAGTAGTTATGTTTTACCATTCTGTTATTTGACATCCATCTCATTATCTCTCTAAAAGTTAACATTTTCATGTACTCAAGTTCTAGTCGAATTTTCTCGAAGTTTGAGTAGAGGATTTTCTGAGTAGGTCACAGGCCTGGTGTATCTGATTATACATACGTATCTAAAATAAAACAAAAGAACTGCAGATGCTGTAAATAGAAACAAAAACAAAATTTGCTGGAAAAGCTCAGCAGGTATGGCAGCATTTGTGAAGAGAAATCAGAGTTAACGTTTTGGGTCCGGTGACCCTTCCTCACTTCTGAGCCTGCTGAGGTTTTCCAGCAACTTCTTTTTTTGTTTCTGGTACACAATTATCTTACAGGAATGCTTGAGTACCTTAAATGTTTGTGGAGAAAAACATCAGAATAAGAGTCACTCACAACTAAGCCTGTAGATTAAATGTCAGGTTACCTAGACATAATTTTGGCAATAGTATAAAGATAACTTATTATTATTTGTTCATGGAAGATGGGCAATGCTGGCTAGGCCAGCACTTTTGTCCCATTCCTAATTGGCTAGAAGGCAGTTAAGAGTCAACCACATTGCAGTTAGTCTGAAGTCAGATATAGACTTGACATGGTAAATATGGCAGATTTTGGATATTAGTAAATCCGTTAAGTTTTTACAACAATTGACAATCATTACATGATCACCATTAGGCCAGCATTTTATTCAATTAAAATTTCACCATCCACCATGGTGGGATTTAAACTCCTGGCCACAGAATATTAGTCTGATTTTTTGGATTATTAGTCTATTGTCATCATCACCTCCCCTTTGAATTCAATCAATCTATCAGAAACATAACTACAAAATAAGAGTTATTTCTTTTTTACATTAGATGCACCAATACTTCTTGAACGAATATCTCAGAAAATTCATTTATCATTTTGTTATTTCAATTGCTTACCTAGGATTCAGCATCAAAATTGTCATATTGTACTGCCAGAAAATAACGTGTCTTTTTTTTAAGAGAATAAAAGGGATGTGGATTGAGTATAATTTCATTAGGAAAGAGATTAGTTTGTGTATTTATGGTGGACTATCAGTTTAAAGGTCTGATCATGTGACATGATGACATTTTGGAGGGAAACAACTCAGTCTAGCTTGCTGTCTTCTGGAATTAACACCTCCTGTACAAAGCTCTTGTTTTGTGTGCTATGGCCTCCTATCCTTGAAACGCAACAATACGTTTAATTTATCAGCCACTGATGACCTCTATTGAAGAAGACATAGCAATATAAATTCTGCCAAGTTTGGATCAAACTACCTGGTTAGTGCAATTGCAGGAGGAGTTTTATGCAATTGGTAGTCATTAATACTGACACTATGGTCCACAAGTGAAATAAGTTCATAGTTCACAGTAACAATTTGTCACCTCAAACAAAACAATTCACCTAATTGCTGTTGAGGTCTGAAATTCAAAAACACATGTGAATACTACTTCAGCGCTATATAGTCATGCTTCTAGATGACACCACTACAAATTTTGTTGCTTAAATAACATGGAGTAAAACTGAAGACATTCCAAGTTTATCAGGTCATTGCAAGATTGACAAAATCAAATCCAATTGTTAAATCAAACCATTGTTAGTCACTACAGAACAATGCATTTATTGATAATCAAGGAAATTACCCAATAATTGAAGATCTGTTTCCACTTGTTGTGCTGTCTCCAGAATCAATTCTTCTCTGTGATCAATACTGGTCTCTGCCTCACGTCTTAAATCAGCCCATTTTTTGTATTCACTACCGCTCAAGACCTAAACAAAATTAAGAAGCAAACAGGAAATAAAGTTAGAAGTAGAATGTTGATAAAGATATAAAAGATGGTATAAAAATTAACTAGAATCAAAAACCTCATGGTTATTTTAATAATTCTTGCTATTTGAAAGTTTCCCAAGAGTTAGTGGATACTGCACCATATACTGTTATGTGTCTCAGCAGTGGTATATCAGATATTGCTATGTCTAGCTCTTTCTTTGTTCTTTTTTTACATATAAACTAGAAACAGTAGCTGGTAACTCTTCTACTTAGGGATAGTTTATCTGGAATGAAGGGTTCCAGGTGACATCTTTTCTGCTTTCATTTCCTCCTCCCTCTGCACACTGTTGTACTTTTCTGCTGCCTTTACTCCATTTCCAAATCATATCGCACTTCTACTAACTCTGCAACAGCAAAGGTAAGTCAATTCCAGCCTCGGGTGACTGTCTGTGTGGAGTTTGCACATTCTCCACTTGTCTGCGTGGGTTTCCATCGGGTGATCCGGTTTCCTCCCACAGTCCAAAGATGTGCAGGCTGGTGGATTGGCTATGCTAAATTGCCCATAGTGCCTAGGGTGGGAAATGGAGGGATAGGGTAGGAAGTGGGTATGGGTGGGATGCTCTTCGGAGGGGCAGTATGGACTTGACGGGCCGAATGGTCTGCTTCTACACAGTAGGGATTCTATGATTCTATAAAACACCTCATCAGGAAAGTGGATGATCAGCCCTTTAAATAACGGTAGTAATTTAGTCCTGTTGTATAGACATGCCAATTGATTACTCTGCTGCTCATGATGAAGGTTGCTGTCATCATCCTCTTTAAGTGGAAGAAGTTTGCAGGTCAGGAATCCCTTATTTGAAATTCTGAGGGCCAACTTTTTTTTTACAAATAATAGACATTTTTGTTTTTCAGATACATTTACACTATAGGCCCACTTGGATCTTTTGGGGAATGAAAAACTTCGCTTGGCTCAAATGGACCAGAAAAGGCTTAAAAGCAAAGTTTTTTTCCAAAGGGCCCCAGTGGACGTGAACAAATTTGTATCCACGTTAAGTTCAGGCCCTTTGGCAAAAGCTTTGCTTTTCAGTCTATTTGGGACAAGCACAGTTGTTCTCCAAAGGACCCAAAATTAGTGTGTCAACATTTGGGTTTGCTCAAGTCCACTTTCAAAAAGATCTTTGGTTTTAGGTCTTTTCAGTTTTTGGACATGCAGACAAAGGATACTTGACCTGTCCAGCCTTGCTTTGTCTAGTGTCATAGAGGAAAGCAACTTTCAGATCTAACCTGAAGTGTCTGTTGTCATTAATATATACTTTATTTCATGTTACTAATTGGTTAGAGATTGAACTGATATAACACATGTTGTTACAGAGGCTTCAAATAGGTACTGATGTTAGATTTCAAACTTCTGAAATCCTAAACTGTTCTACCTGCATGTCCAAAGTCCATTGCAGCAGGTGGAACTTTTGGCACTCTGTAGTATTGACTCTATCTGACCCATTTACAACATCATATCCTCCAGTTTTTATTTTCCCTCCATTATTATCATGCATTTACATCTACTTCTCTTTGCCATTACCCTTTCTCTCCAAATCCCTACCATTGTAAATTCAGGCAATTTGGAGGTTTCAGTATTCTCCTAGGATATGATCTCTTCAGATTTGGAAGACTGGTAGTTTGCTGGGTGAAACTTTAACTCTTGGATTTCCTTCATAGCTAAAGTATACAATTTCTTTCTTGCAGTACCTTGGAATTGTTGGACATTGGTCATCCTTCTCAGTGATGGCTTCAGTGATTGTGTTATTGGTGAAACCGATTTATTAACTTTTGTTTTTTGAGGATTGATTTGGCTTTGCATGATCTCTGACTCACTTACTGAGAATTCTTCCTGGGAGATAATAAAATCAAATTTTCTGCTTGAAATACCTCAGCATCTAATATCAAATAGGATTCCATGTTTGCTATTTGGTCCCCAAGCTGTGCTGCACTTCAAGTTACATTAGTTTTAAAATCTCAATTGGCTTGAGTTGGGTATGCTGTTCATTGGCCTTTTCATTGCTTGTTTTCCTTCACAAACCATGCAGGCTTCTGCAATTTGCAAACTGTTCAGTGTTGACAGCAATGGAATATATTTGTGCCAGTTCAGTATGGTCACAGGTTCTCATTCATTGACAGCATGAAACAAATTCCTTATGCCAACATAATTAATCTCGATGAAACCTAATTTTGTTTAGATTGTGTTCTGAGACTAAGGACACATGTCAAATCTTCTCCGAGCTGACCTTTGACCAGCTGTTCCTTGACTGGAGACAACAAGGTGCAGGGCTGGATGAACACAGCAGGCCAAGCAGCATCATAGGAGCAGAAAGGCTGACGTTTCGGGCCTAGACCCTTCCTTGTTAACTTCGTGCAGTTTAACTCCTTCTGCCATTTGAATAAAATTGAGTTCAACTGTGCATTTCTACTCAAGAGTGAGAATTCTTGATTGTGAAGCTTGTATAGATCCTTTACTATTTGGGCATCCCCAATATTGAATTGATTGTAGCATATCTTTAACGTGAAGTAGTATGTCTCCTAGACCATAATGTTGCACTATTATTGGCTGCAAACAGTGTTTTTTTTTAGCCATGGCTCACTATCTAATAACATAGTGACACTTGCCTTAATGCCTAACTTTAAATTTGTGAGAGGACCATTGACATAAATACCTCATTGCTAAAACATAAGGCATGGATCACCTATTCCCACTCGGAATATTTAATGCTTTTCCACCAGTCAAGCACTGGCAATCCAGAGCTGCACTGTAAGGTTCCTCTCAGTTGCCCCAATCAAGTTGGACAGAGGTAAATTGGTGCCGCACATTGCCAATGGGGTCATGGAGGTCCTGGTGAACAGGATTGCATGAAGTTGCTGCCCATCGAGTATGTCCTGAAATGTTGGTGACTGTTGGAGGGCTGTAGGAGTAAATGGCAAGCTGGAGTCATAAGGTTACCTCTCTGATTTGCATTTCAGGAACTGCATCCATCTAGTTACTATCCAATGGTTGGGAGAATGGGAAACTGCATATCAATGAGGGGAGGTGATGCCATAATGTGGATGTTAATGCACATCAATGAATGCAAATAAGACTCACTCTGCTCATTTGGGAGAATTTCAATCACACCATTCAACACTAGCTTTGAAAACGAGACATTTTGCTTTCAATGATGCAGCTACTCGCTGGCTATCTCCATAAGACCATAAGATATAGCAGAAGCATTAGGCCATTTGGTCCATCGAGTCTCCTGTGCGATTTAATCATGGCTGATAATCTCACGTGATACTCCCAAACTTGTCATAGTTTTCCATGTCATTCAGGGCTGAGACCACCCTAGTGTCTGGTGTTTTTCTACACACTGTACTTGTTTCTCAGATTCCATTTGTTGTTTTGTTCCTTAAGAATTGAATAATTTCTTCACATCCTCCATGTCAAGAGTTGTCTTTTCCTCTTAGGATGGTTTTCTGTTGCTTTGGGACTAATGCTTCACTCACTAATCTGAATGATTACCTCTACCATCAGGTTCTCTATGAACTGTAATAAATCTGACAAATATTAGAATCATCAATTGTTTTTATGAATTCTAACTTGAGGTCACCATTGTTGCATTTCTGCACTAATCTGCAGAGTTTATGAACAAAATCATTTGGGGACTCCCCTGCATGTTGAACTGTTGTATTCAATCTTGATCTTTCTATAAATTTATTACTTCTAGGATTCAAGTAATTGCCAAAGTATCTCTTTAAAATTATCTTTGTTCCTTTTAATCTGCGGCAAGTTATAATGCCATCAGCTATATTCCCAATTGTACATAGAAGTGTGTTTCTTGTTCAGCTTCTCATTTAGAATCTAATTCAGAAGATATTCTCAATTTCAGGAATAGTTTTATCCAAGGTGACCAATTGTTCTTCTATTTGGCCCATCTCTACAATTGAGTATACCTAGCAATGTTATTTCTGATAATGTCATGTCTTTCTAATGTGATAATACATCGTGCTTACTTTAAAAGGACTTTTATTTCACAGTGATAGCAGTTCTGTTGCTCTTTGCTAGTTTACTGGAAGTCTATGCACTCCTAAAACTGAGGATTCCTACCTTAATTCCAGCTGCATTGCAGGTTTTAACAAACAATTTATGTTTTAATGATTAGTTCACTGAATGATTTCCATTCTTTGCAATTTAAATAAATGATTCTCACCTTATTGTGGTTCTTACAAGGAATCTCCTGCCTGAACAAAGTCTCCCAAACTTTCTTTCCCCATTATACCAGATCTGCGTAGGGTTGTAATCTGCTGAACATAATATAACCTCAGCTTAATATTTATTTTGTGGCATTTTACTTCTCTTTCTGTAGCTGTGCCTTATGCTGTCTGCGCACTTTATGGTGCTGACACTCAATGGGAGGAATAAGTAATATTTTCATTTCTTGCTTTTCCAGGCTGCATTACTGTGCATGTGTTGTATGAGCAGTCAATTAAAACTACACTGCTGCCTACCATACTGTATGAATATGCCAGATCATGGTGCTGTATGAGATGCTACTTATAATGAAAGTTGCTGCCACTGTCCTCTTTAGTCTAGGATCTGCTTGATCTAGAATGATCATGGTAAGCAACTTCCTGGTATAACCAGAAAAGTTTTTTGTAGTTAAGAAAATATAGTTTATTGTATGTGAGCAGCCAGTTCCAGATTGTGTTAATATGACTGATACTGTCACAGAAACTTTGAGGAGGAGCAGATGATAAATCTCACTCTTTCAAAATTCTAAACTGTTTTGTCCACATGATGTATGATATCATCATAGTTTTGGTGCTTATGGCACTCCTCAGTATTAACCAGTTGGTGTGGGACTGCTTAAGAGATGGTGTTAATTAAACTGCATGGTTCACAATGACATTGTGTGCATCAGTGTTAGAGGCTGTTTGATGATTTGTTCACTCTCCATGGACATTTGTCCATGATTTCATGCACATACATCACCTCTGGCAGGGACCTGCCAGCACATGCCGTGAGAAAGAGCCATAGTTTGTGGTTTATGTCTCTGTGAAGCAATTTTAGACATTGTCTGTGTTAAAGGTATGAAAATGAAAATTGTTATCATAGAGAATGTGCCTTATAAGGCACAAAAAAAGACGAAAGTGAACTAAAGGAAACAGAAGATACAGGAGTCGAAGTTAAAAACCTGGATGTTTATAATGTGGCATTGATACAGAAATTCAATCTTTGAGCGTTCATATTTTACCTTCTTTGCGATGCATAGTGTTCGCAGACCATTATTCGCATACATGTCCAGACACTTTTGTGTTTCCAGGATAATTTTTCTTTGCTTTTCTTCTTCACAGTTGTCAGAAAAAGAGGCAAAAGAAAAGAAAATCTGTCAGGCAGCTGTGTTCAACAATGTCACATCTCACAACAAAAGCCACAACCTCAAAAAAGAAAGTTTCCTTAGAGCTCATTGCCAGAGCATTTCAATCCTTTACAGAAGTCTATGATGTTTACATTATTAGTAAAACTGGAACAGTGCAATTTCTGACTAAGGTTAGAAAATTGAAAGGATTAGACTATCACAATGGTAATTAAGAATTGTTAGCTCAAAGAAAAGGCCATTACACTCTAACAGCTAATTCTGTCAAAACATCAACGATTTTTCACATCTCCATCTTCCTTCTTACTCCTTCATTGTATTCTTCCAATAGTTTCCTGCTCACAAGCAAAGCAAATTCATTCCCAAAAAATTGAGTTGTCAGTTTCAGTATCCTTTCTGATAATTTGTTCTCCAGCTTCACTACCTCACTCCTTTCTCTTACTTTATAACATTTTCCTTCATATTAGAACTTTTTGTTAGGGAGCAATTTATTTCAATTTACCCAGTTTCTTTCATAATCTCAAAAATGTAAGTCTATCCACATCTGTTTCTTCAGTGAAAATGTGCCAAACTTCCTGAATAGCTTAAATTTCTAAAACTTCTATACCTCAAGAGACAATAGTTAACTTTCCGGTAAGTGGCTGTCAACTTTTATAGTACAATGTCTTATTTCTAGTTCATGCCTTTAAGATGGAATCTCAATTTGCTGCAACATGGTGATTTCTCATTTTTATGATATTTTGCCAAGTACTTGTAGAGTTATAGGGTCATGCAGCACAGAAACAAACCCTTCAGTCCAACTTGTCCATGGCAATCAGACATCCCAATCCGACCTAATCCCAGTTGCCAGCATTTGGCCCATATCCCTCCAAAATGTTCCCATTCATATACCCAACTAGATGCCTTTTGAATGTTGTAATTGTATCTGCCTCCACCACTTCCTCCGGCAACTCGTTCCACACATGCACCACCCTCTTTGTGAAAATGTTACCCCTTAGGTCCTTTTTATATCTTTTCTTTCTCATCTTAAACCTATGCCCTCTAGTTTTAGATTCTCCCACTCTGGGAAAAAGACATTGGCTATTCACCCTATCCTTGCCCCTCATCATCTTCTCCAGGGAAGAAACAGCCTCAGCCTATTCAGTCTCTCCCTACAACTCAAATGCTCCAATCCCAGCAAAATCCTTGTAAATCTTTTCTGCACCCTCTCAAGTTTAACAACATCCTTATATAAGGACTCAGTGTTCCCCAAAGACAGAATGAGGGTAATCTCAAGTTAACTTGATTGCAACTCCAGAAAATGACCCAAGCAGCTATACTGGCACAATTCTAAGACTGGATTTTCAATCTTACTCTTTCAATCCAAGTAATGAACAGGAAAGATATTTTAAAACATGTAACAGAAATACATCATATCATAAACTTCTAGCATATTTTAGTGCTGATTGGTTCAATCCATATACCACATTTGCATATCCCAAGATCAGCTCCATCTGAGGCTTCTGCATACATTCTCGTTTATCCTCAATACTTTGCCACATGCTCAATCCTTAAAGTGGAAGGATCGGTGAAAGAAAATCTGACTTCTTCATAAAATTCCATAAGACTGTGAGAAACAGTTGTTACAGATTTTGAGTCAACATTGAGTTCAAAAACAGGGTTGGCAATTATTTTTTATTCTCTCATGGGACTTGGGTGTTGCTGGCTGGTCAGCATTTATTGTACATCCCTAGTTGCCCTTGAGAAGGTGATAGTGAGCTGTTTTCTTGAGTCTCTGCATTGCACATGCTTTAGGTTGACCCACACTGCATCTCAGGAACCATGAATGGTGCTGAGCATTGCGAAATTATTAGTGAAAATTCCCACTTCTGACCTTATGATGGAGGGAAGGTCATTGATGAAGCAGCTGAAGATGGTTGGGCCTAGGAGACTACCCTGAGGAACTCCTGCACAGTTGTCCTGGAGCAGAGATGACTGATTTCCAACAACCACAATCACCTTCCTGTGTGCCAGGTATGACTCCAACTAGCAAAAAGTTTGCCCCTGATGCCCATTGATTCCAGTTTTGCTTGGGCTCCTTGATGCCACACTTGGTCAAATGCTGCCTTGATATCAAGCACTGTCACTTTTACCACACCTCTGGAATTCAGCTCTTTTGTCCATGTTCAAGCTAAGGTTGTAATGAGGTCAGGAGCTGAATGGCCCTGGCAGAATTCAAACTGGACATCACTGAGCAGGTTAACGTTGAGCAGGTGCTGCTCAAACTGTTGGTGACACCTTCCATCACTTTACTGATGATCGAGAGTAGGCTGATGGGTCAGCACTTGGCCAGGTTGGATTTATCATGCTTTTTGTGTACAGGACATACCTGGATAATTTTCCACATTGTCAAATAGGTATCAGTGTTGTAACTGTAATGGAAGCTTGGCTAGGAGTGTGGCAAATTCTGGAACACAGGTGTCCAGTACTATTGCCATAATGTTGTTAATCCCATATCCTTTGTAGTATACAGTGCCTCCAACCATTTCTTGATGTTACATGGAATGAACTTAATTAGTTGAAGTCTGAAGTCTGTTTCAGTGATGCTGGGGACCACTGGAGATGGCCAAGGAATGTGCAACTATTATGACGAATGGGACTTGCAGTGGCAAGTATCATTAAAAGGATCCTATCAATTCCTTTCAAATGTGCTGCAATGTTTATCCAGGGTAAGGTAGTCCAGGGACAAACATCGAAGGAGTGTAGAACAAATTTTAAACCAATTAGAAAGATGGGTGGGAGAGGGCTGTGACAGAAGTGAAATTAAAATAGCCTTTTTTTAAAAAAAAATAGGAGCACAGCGCCAAAGATAAAATTAAAACTTCAAATTTAGGAAAAAGTGTACGAAGTAACCAAATAACTGATCAAAATACAACAGAAATGACTGAACAAAACAATAAGTCTTGAGTTAAAACAAATGTTAAGAGCACTCATTGTGGTCCATTGCCAAATTAAAATTTCCATTTGCGATTCACGTAGCATAGGAAATGAAACAATTGAATTTGAATTGTAAATTTAGACAAAATGTCTTCACTGAGAGTTGACTACAATCTGAGTCTGACTAGGATATTGTTATTTCAAGTTGTAAAGTCTTTAGAAAGAACAATGCAGTTGGAAAAGATGGAGAAGTAGCAATTTGCAACAGTATTATGACAGTGCTAGATTGACAGATAACCATTAAGTGTGAGCAGACATTTGAAATATCACAAGTAGAATTGAATAATTAAAAAAAACTGCAAGCCTTTTGTTGGAGTTCTTTATAGACCACAAGATAGCAGTGATAAAGTATGAGATATATGAATACAGAGAACTGAGATGCTTGCGACAGTATCAAAATGGCTATTATGGGAAAATGTAACTTTCACAGGCAGGCAAAAGTAGAACATCAGTGCATTTTGAATGTAATTGGGAGTTTTCTGGAATTGGACTGGAGTTTGCTTTCAGCCATTTGCTACACTTACACTCACCCATAGGTTTGGGATGGGATATTGCATTGGAGTATAAAGCATATGGAAAGTTATCATGACTTATTTACCTCTGTATGGAATCTCAAACCCGTGTGAACAGTGCATGCAAATATATATTGTCTAAACCAATAAGATAGAAAATTATGATTAAGCAGTGCAGACTGAACCAGGATGTACTAGTTAGAATAGTTAATTCAATATCAGTCAGGTACAAAAAACAAAAGAGAAAGTGAATTGAGGCAGAGAGAAAACATTTCTTTACAAATAAACTTTAATTATTTTGTTTATTTCATATCTCCATGGGAGAAGGAATGTAATCAGCATTGTTGCTGTTTGAAAGAGTTGGATAAGAGAAATAATTTTCAGAAGTGCAAAAATATGTTTAAAAATGCAAACTCTTCCTACTGACCTCCAGCTCATGGTTTCTCCCGCTTTCTGACCCTTTGGCTCACTACCTCCCCCTGCTGCCTGAACCTCCCAGTCACTGCTACTGATATCAGACTCCCTGGTTTGCCATGCATCTTACTTCCAGATCCTTGCTTTCACTCAGCCTCCCACAACTTATCTTTCTGTCCCAAGCACTCACCAAGAGCTCGAGGAGATGAGTGGCAAAAGACAGGAAGAGCAGCTTCTAGTACCCGGACGTAAGTGCAAAATTGAAAGGTGGTGAGAGGGAGGACCAAGGTGCAGAAGAGGTTATGAGCCAATGGATAAGCAGTGATTGCAAGGGTCTGGCAGAAGGAAGGGTTGGTCCAAAATGGAGCCAACTGGTCACACAACTTAACTTCAAGCTCCAAATCAAACAACTTTGGAGCAAAATTTCTGATCCTAGATGTAAATATGGTCACATTCAACTGACTGATATTCACATTAACAGGGTGCAATTCAGAGATGCAAACTTATTCTGTGAGAAACAAGGATAAAGGATATTTCTGTTACCTTTGGCAGATTCCTCTAATAAATCCATGATAACAGAATCTGCTCCCTTTGTGTACATGATAATCTCTTCAGTGACGGGATGTTTGACTATCACAGACATCCTTTTCCTTGTTGAATCAAATGCTAACATATGTAACACTTCAAAAGTGAGAAGATCCCCTTGAGGTAACTTCACAGTCACTTGGTTGGGGGTTCGAGAACATAATGTGAAATTGTAAGCTCGAGCAGCATGCACAAGGGCTGCCTCATCTGGGCTTTCAGCTTCATAGCAGAACTCTAAATTGCTTTGATTTTCATCAGCTTCTTCACAAATACTGTGATCTTCTCTGTCAACACTGTTGTCCGCACTATATGAAGAATTTAGACTAACTTCAGAGGTCAGTGATGTTTTATTGCGCAAATGTCCTGGTTCATCAGCGTCTGATTGATTTGGTGTGGAAATGGAACTTGTTCGTGACAGCTTAAGCTTCTGACGTAGCTGCTGTAGCTTCTCCTGGGAAATTGTGGAAGCTTTTGACAAAGATGGAGATAATACCTAGAAGTTTAAAACAACTGATCAGAACATTCCCTTTGACAACATGATCTACTTTGAATGGATAAAACAGCTTAACTTTATCTGGTTAATTGTGTAATCTATGGCAATTTATCTTTGATATTTTCTCCTCTGGCCACAGGTTTGTACCATTGCAAAACATAAAAACGGGTGACTTACTTCCCAGTTTCTGCCACTGGAAAAATAACTGATTCAGTAATGTTGGGGAGAGGAAGGGGTGTGATACCATTTTTGGACCTGTTGGTACCAGTAGGGTGCAATTCTGCACAGGACACTAGAAAGGTAGAGTTCCCCACATGATATGCTACTTTAACTCTGCATGTACCAGTCCAGAGAGGTTCCTTGCACAGAAATCAACCCAATTACCTGGGTTAACAGTAGGGACCTGTCAGGCCCTTGGGGTCTTCAAGAAAGTCTTCTGGATCCACCCAAGAGATGGAAGAAGATGCTTACATCCCTGGATCCAACAAGGTTTTGCTTTCCTGTAGTTGCCAGGTTTCCCAAGATATATGAAGTATGACCATCACATGTTAAATAAGAAATGATGAATCACAATGACTCACAAAACTTCATCCAAATATTTAAATTGCCAAGTACCTTCAGAGAGTGGAACAAAAACAAAGTTGCTGGAAAAGCTCAGCAGGTCTGGCAGCATCTATGAAGGAGAAAACAGAGTTAACGTTTCGGGTCCAGTGACCCTTCCTCAGAACCCTTCTGAGGAAGGGACACCGGACCCAAAACGTTAACTCTATTTTTTTCCTTTACAGATGCTGCCAGACCTACTGAGCTTTTCCAGCAACT